CTGGGCTGTACTAACCAGCTGAACATGAGCCAGAGGGTGAGCCAGCAGGAGGCATTTCTTCAGAGTCTCTACTTCGGTTCCTGCCCTGACTTTCTTCAGTGCTGGATGCTGACCTGTAAAATAAGCCAAACCTCTTACCCACTACAGTGCTTTGCGTTGTGATGTTTATCACAGAACAGAAAGCAAACAAACGCCTCTGATACCCTGGCCTCCGACTCTTTATCTCTCTCCCCTTCCTTTCAAGACCACTGGGACAATCACTGGGACTGCAACAGCTTTTAACATTATACTTCCATCATGACATACTTTCCTAACACAGGACATATGTGTTATTTCTTGCATACTAGTGTTCTTAATTTTCACCTAAGATGTGTAATAAATCACAACCCCCATTTTTATCACTGGTCATGCAAAAGCCCTCTTTCATTTCTTACTCGTAAGACTCATCACCATCCTAAGCGACTATTGTAACGTAGCTGCCATGGAAATAAGAGGAAATCTGCTCCTGTATGTTCTCTTACAAAATAAGCCTGTGTGTTACTGTATTCTGGCAAACGCTACTGTGCTTTATGTTTCTGGGCCGAACTGTGTGTGGGCATCTATTCCAATGTTTCTCTCTACTGTACATCCACATGGTCACCTTCCCCCTTTCCCAACGACAGCCCTGCCAGGGGCCTCCCATGGGCCTAACAACCACTCTACAGCTATTTTGTGTATACTGTTCGATTCCAGGCAAACTTCAAAGCGCTCATAAGTCACTGTCCCTTTCCGCCATTACTGCTGTTGCTCTACCGTATTCATTCTGCGCTGGATGGCGCTGACCACTGAAGTAAAACTGATGGCAAGAGCTGTGAGGAGCTGCCAATGTATTCTTCCTGGGCTGTTTACTTGAGTCTAAATAGCTTTGAGAGCTCTAAAAAGAAAATGTCACCCATCGTCACTTTAAGCATCTCTTGCAAATATAAAAGGTAGAAAACCTCGCCTGCCTTAGTGGCTACCATGTGGGGTAAGTGAACTAAGCAGAGCAGAAGGTACTGACAAAGTCCTGGGAGAGTCAGCCATTTTACTGCTGGTCAGGATCTGTGAGATCATTTGCGGCTAGGAAGGAAAATGGAGGTCCAGCTGGCGCAGTCTGCAAGGTTAGACTGGAGCACCTTTGGGTAGCTGTTTGGGCACTGTTGCAGAAGCAGGAAACACCTGGACCTGACAGGATCCTGGAATAGGTGTATGGTCAGGAGACAAAGTTAAGTAGGTTAGGGAGGAAATTCTTTAGGTGCACATTTGAAACTTTTGGACCCATGGTTTTGGTAGTTGGGGGAGAGGAATCCCACCCTCTGAAATAGGCAATAGGTGGGAAACTAGTCTGTTGTTTGGCAGTACTAATCTGGAGTCCATTCAACCCAAGCGGTGGACTCAGGTGGATTTCCTGTGGCTTACAGGAGTCCTTTTTATTTTACAAAGAAGAGAAGTTTTAAACAAGTTAGCATCACGACTGTTTGTACTCTGTAGTGAAACACACATCTTTGTGTCATAGCGTCGAAGCGGCTTGGGAAATGATTTGGGGTCGACAGCATGAACACTCTTTGAGGTGAGCTCAGGGAAGGCAGAAGCCTCCGTGAAGTCGAAGGTGCAAAAGTAGTAGGTATTCCACTCATGACTCAACCTGCTCTTACAGGTCAGGCCTTTTTCTCTACTGTTGCACTGGGATTTTTTTTTTTTTTTTTCAGCATCAGTTTTGGAGAGAACAAAATAATCCAAACCACAAGCAGACTGCTGGGCCACGAGCAGGTGTAAAGAAGTGTTTGGAGCAATCCTTCACCTGAAATGCTTGTGCTAGCTTAGGAGTGGATGGGTACAAATGACTGGCTTGAAGCAGCTGGTCGGCTCTAGAGCGGCCTCGGCCTTGCTGGACGCCTGCAGTACGCCAGCAGGGTAGCTTCTGCTTGATCTTGGTCTTAGTATGACTACACATCATGAAAGACAGGCTTTCCCCCTCTATCCAGAAGACTGGATGTATATAAACTTAGCACAATTAGAAACATTTTTAAGTCCATGCTTAAAGGACAAATGAAAAGGAAATTTCAAATCTTGAGCTTGGAATTATGATACCGTGTTTTATCAGAGTCAGACTAATAAATAAGAGCTCCAGTGATTAATGTCAAAGCGCTGAACATTTTAAATACAACAGCAGGATAGCAACAATAGCAACAGGAAGAAATCTGAATTTTTTTTTGGGGGGGGGGGCGGTGGGACCATAAATCACCTTATCCCATCTAGGCTTTCATTTGTATTTGTTAACCTTTAAACACCTTCTTAGACCCTAAAACATTTTCTTGGGTCCTCACAACTTAAGCTTCTTGTCCTTAGGCCTTACGTAAGCTTTACATCTTTCTTCCTATCCAATTATTTACCATGAGACACAGGTGAGGCTGCTGGGAGCAGTCACTATCCTTTAGCTAAAGGACTATTAAAAAGTTACATCTGAGACCTGTTTTTCTGAGTCTGGTGACAAGGCTGACTGTGTATAGACCTACTAGTAGCACCTCTAGGAGTGAGGATCAAGGCCTGATTTTTACACAGGAAGAGAACTAAGGCATCTGAAGCCTTGGATTCTGCTGTTAAAATGATACATCTTTCCCTAACTAGCCTCTACACCCATCAGAGACCTGAGATAGAAGGCAGGGTCTTAGAAGGAAAGGAGGACTTTTCCATTCACTCCTATGTCAGAAGTTGGCAACGTGACCATAGGACCCAAGTGTGAGGTTAAAACAGACCTGTAGCGTTACCCTGGGCTTGGTGAGGGTGATGGAGGTGGCTGAGGCTGGGAGCTGTCAGTCCCCCACCAGGCCAAGAAGTGTGAAGGCTGGAAGTGTCTGTGGTGCCTACACTGGTTGGGCTGGGCCTCCATGGCTGGGTTCAGAAAACAAGCCCGGATGGGAGCATTCCGACTTCCAGTGGCCAGGATGCTGGCGGGCAGGGCATGGCTTGGTGGGCTGCTGAGGGTTGGGGCAGCTGCAGGGCCAGTGTCTTTCCTGGCTACATTGGAAACAGGTCCCTGGCAGAGTTGACTTACTCTGGACCCCAGCAGGATGGGCATAGCAGGCCTCCCTTGTTCCCTCTGTGGGAATGCTGATGGCCGCAGGGCAGCGCCAAGGCTAGGGGTCTGGAGCGTAGCTTCCTGTTGTAACCGAGCCTGTTGGGAAGTCTCAGCCACCTCCTCTCCGGCTTTAAAGACTTTAAGAAAAAACATTTTCACTAACTCCTGTATGGGGGTTTGGGGACCATGTCCATCAAAAGGAGATCTAAATAGGCAAACTTTGTTTGTTTCTAGTTACTTTCTGTTTAACTTTGAGAACATGTACAGAATGCTAAATAAAGCTTAATCCTGCAATCAATCACATGGGTTCTTAGCATGTAAGTGCGTGTATGCGTATATAAGCAGACATGTTGCCCACCTGTCACAACCTGCCATGTGATTCCACCATCTTCAGATGACCATCTGGTATAAGGCACCAATTATAAAGCATCTTAGTCCTAACTGGTGCATGTACATCTGTCCTAAACAAGAGCTGAACTTAGAGTTTAAACACCGTGCCCAATAAGCAAGTTATAAATCCTTAGATAAGAGTTCACAGTATAATCTTAAGATATTTTTTTTTCTTTTGAGAGCAGAGTGGAAAGAAATCAGAGAGAAAAGATTAAGAGTTTGGAGGTAGCTCCTCAGAGATGAAAGGCTTTGGGAGCATAGAGCTGAGTGTAGCTATCTGGGAATCACTTGTATGTGGTTGTAAGAATTTGGAAATTCGGTATGCCTTTTTTATTTTGTTTTTGTTGTTTTGCCTTCGGATGCAGCCAGGTTTTTGTAATTGAGAGCCCCCTGAAGGGAGCACTCGCACCTGTAGTCTGGCTGCATGAGTGGGGAAAGGTGGAGTAGCCAGTAGGTCCCTGTGGAGGAATCAGGCTCGAAGTAGAATTCTCAGACAAGTGGTCTACACATACCTCAGCTGCTTGGTTCAGGGCAGCTGCTGGGGGACGGGCGTACTGTGCTCCCATGCGACTGTGGCCCACTGTGTTGGAGCAGCATGGTAGAGCAACCAGAGGAGAGTGAAACAGGGTTTGGCAGTCCGACCCCCGTCCCCCACCACTTGGTAGTGTGATCTGGCAATTTAGAAACCAGGTATACGGGTGTGAGGTTATCCAAAAATCATCTAGATGTGGACCTTGGAGGTCTGAATGGAGACACTGCCCCATGGGTGAAGAGAGAAATAATCAGTTGCAAGACCGACCCCAGGGCGTCCCAGATGGCTTGGGGACTCAAAAAGAGATGCCACAAGCTGGTCAACTGGACTGTCACCTGCTTGCCAGGGACCAAGGGAAGATGTCTGGGCAGACACAGTTCCTGGTAGTACTAGTACCTTTGACGAGCATTTCTGAGAGAGAAAAAGAGGGAAAACTGTGCTGGTAGAAGAGAGAGCATCACCCAGGGAAAGGATCTGACCAGAGGTCAATGACTACAGCTGGCTGTTGCCAGTAACGCTGGCTAGTGTTGGATGTAGGAATGTGTCAGTCAGTTGGACCAGAAGGCAATTCTGTTGTGGGCGGGTAAGACAGCAGGAGGGCCCCTCACCCCTCCGTCACAGCACCAATGTTTGATTAAGATGCCATGCTACAGATCTGGTATAAAGGCGGTTTATTGTGGGAAAAGAGGAATGGGGGAAGAGAGAGGAGGGGGCCCGTGTGGAAAGAGACTGATAGACAGAAAGCAAGAGGATAAGAGAAGAGGGGGGGTGGGGAGTGGACGGTGGGTCCTCTTATCAGGTAAGGGGGTGGCGGAGGGTGGATCCTCTTATCAGGCACATACTTGGTGCGCGCCTGGCCTGGCGGCGGCAGGCGATAACATCAGAGGTTCCTAGCCAGGACCCTGAAAGGCCCCTGAAGGCAGGGCAGCTGAGTCACCTGTTACCCTAGCAGACAGCACGAGTTCATATACATAAGCAAGATACAGGGCGAGGCTTTTCTTTATTATCCATTACAAATTAAATAGAAAGTTGTATCAAAAATTCAACCAGAAAACAGTCACTGGCCCACCTTCTGTGTGGAAGCTTAATGTACTTGGGCTGCTTGTCATTCTCAACAAGTGGCTCAGACATCCCAAGGGGTTGTTTCAATCCTTCTTTGTCTTCCAGAATCTGTAAGGAAGGTCTGGATCCTGTAAAAGAGTGGCAGCAGCATGAACCAGACCTCCCTTCTGTTGACCCACATTTGACAAACAAGCTTCCCTGTTTAATGAACTGTATCATCACCCGCCCGACAGTGAGCTTTGCAACCCTCAGGTAAACACTTGGATTGCCCTTAGTACCACTGTCTTCTCCACATGGCAGGAATGGCAGCAATTCTTTTCTACGGACTTGCTGCTTAAGCCGGGATCAATAGTGTTAGCACACCCGCTGACAGCCTAACAGTTCACAAAAGGTCAGAGTGGCTAGACTTTAACTATCTGGCTGGCTGTGGTAGCACAGGCCTTTAATCCCAGCACTTGGGAGGCAGAGCAGGGGGAGCTCTGGAAGTCTGGGGCCAGCTTGGTTTATGTAGAAAGGTCAAGGACAGCCAGGAATATGGAGGGAGGGAGGGAGGGAGGGAGGGAGGGAGGGAGGGAGGGAGGAAGGAAGGAAGGAAGAAGAAAATATCTGGATGTTACTCTAAAATTATTTATGAGCTTTAGCTACCCTGTTTACAAGCTAAAATAAGGCAACTTGTTAGCCAGTAAATGTGGCTTTTGTTTGGGAAGGGTAAGTATTTGTTCATCCAAGAATTTGCATAAAGACAGACAAAAATGACAACCTAAAGTGTGGCCACTTCCCTGTTAAAAAGAATGGGGTATCACTAGCCAGAAACAGTGCCGGGAAATAAGAGATGCTCTCTTTAGAAAAATAGTCATAAAGCCATGTGGTGGTGGCTCACACCTTTGACTCAAGCACTTGAGCGGCAGAGGCAGGAGGATCTCTGTGAGCTCAAGAACAGCCTGGTCTAAAGAGCAAGATCCAGGACAGTCAGGGTTACACAGGGAAACCCTGTCTTGAAAAACCAAAAAAAGAAAAAAAAATACCCTAAACAAACAAACAAAGAAAAACAAACAATAACAACAAAACTCATAAAGCAAGTAAAATCATGAAACAGGCTGAGGGACTTTTTGAAACATAACAATGAATGAAGAAGAGAAACGGACAACCTTCATTTAGATTTGGCCATATAAAATTTTTGCTCTCCTAGATTAGAAATCATGTAATCAACCATCAGAGATGCTGTGTGGGTATAGAACACATTTCTACACTCTTAGTATTTTGAGGGAGTGATGTGGAGTCAGAGAAACAAGAGATCTTTAAGGACCCAAAAACTATTTTCCCAAGGGGTTCATACAATATTGTAAAGAAATACATAAGCTGCTCTTACCAAATTATTCTTAAAGTTCTCGATTCTTTTCTTCCCCAACCTGGAGGTGAACCATAAGGCCAAGGTGGGCATATACTGCCACAGGTAAGTCCCCAACAGCACAGGGTGGTCAGAGATCCAAGCTTCTTTCAAATCGTTGGCCATGGAGATTAGTATCAGCCGGACACAGCGGCTAGTTGCCATCTTGTAAGACTGATCTATATTTCTCATGGGCTGAAAGTCAACAAGAAGTAAACGCTCAGGATTCCAAACAGGAAGGTCCCAGATGCCATCTAGCACTGAGACTCTTTCAGGATGCGGCCTGTCAACTGGGAGTCTTCCCAGGGGCCACCAGAGGTTTGCAAGTCACAATGTTTTAAAGAGCCTAAAAGGGGTCATATGTTTGCTGGATAAGATTGCACATGCTGAAGGAGCGTGTGTGATTTAATCGCAGTTGTCTCACAATAGTGTACAAATGCCTATTTTATTACCACACTTTTAGAAATATCAAATTGCCAGGATTTACACTAGGGGTTAAGAATGTACAGTCCAGAGAGAAAATGATTATCTAAGATGGGGGAGGCCCTAGCTTCAGTCTCCAGCACCGCACGCACAACATAAAAATAACTTATATGTAGCAAATGGAGTCATGGGGAGGAAACGGAAAGAGGTAACGGTGAACCACTGGAAAGTGGCAGTCTGGCGACGTCACTGGCCATTGTTAGAACGAGCCCCTGAAGTGATCCAAGTAATCCGAACACTTTCCTTAAAGCTGTCACCCTCTGTGAACAGTTCAGAACCAGTTCTGAAGAGGCTCCTGAGATCTATGACAAAGCACGCATGGCCGGCAACGGTCTCCGGCTTCCCCTGCCAGGATCTTTACCTTAGTCACTTCTTCCGTTAGCGCGTTCTTCACGATGTCCGACTGCACAGGCCCTGGGTAAATGTTGCACAGTGATATGCCTGGGTGGTTGACAAGCTCCAGTCGGAGGGAACTGAAAAAACCCTAAAGCCCACAAACGGGAACATAGGACGAGAAGGAAAGGATAAAGATAAAAAGGAAATGTCATCCAGAGACACGCTCTGAAACGAACAGGTAGAGAACACTGATGCATACAGCTTATTTACTTATTCATTCAATCTTTTTTTTTCTTTTCTTTTTATCTTGAGGTCCCAATGACCTATGACCTATGAAGCTATGGCCTCGGACACATTGGGCAAGAGCTCTCATACTTACACCTCTGGTACTTTTTGTGGTAAACCAATTTTATCACATTTATTTATTTGTTTCTTGGGGGTGGCATGCCAGGGCACAGTGTGGACAGAAAGGGATGGATGCAGCCTGGCAAGCCTTTACCTACTGGGCCATCTTGTCAGCACCCTTCTCACAGTTCATTTGGAGACAACGGTCTAAGTTGTCCAGACTAGCTTTGAACTTGTTTGCAGCCCAGACAGGTCTGACATGTTTAACTCTTTTGTCTCAGCCTTCCAAGTGCCTATGATTATAGGCCTGGGCCATTAAGCTTGGATCCATTAAGGCATTCCTTTTTAAGATTTTTGTGGGGAACTTTAAGTATGTGTGTGTGTGTGTGTGTGTGTGTGTGTGTGTGTGTGTGTGTATGGAGGGTAACCACTTCCAGGTTTGAAAACCTTCCAAAACCCACAGTCCCTGAGCTCAAAACCTACCAATCCTTGAGCCTGAAAACCTACTAATTCCTGGGCTTGGCTTGAAATTTCACCAGTCCTCACCCTGGAAATCTCCACCCAGGAAAACTCCACCACACCTCTCTCTCTCTCTCTCTCTCTCTCTCTCTCTCTCTCTCTCTCACACACACACACACACTCCAAGAAAACCTATATAAAGGCAGTCTCCTGCTCAGTTCCCTTCAGCTTCTAACAGGAGCACAGGCAGCCTCTCTCCTGGGTCCTTCCCTCCCAATAAATCTCTTGTGTGAGGTTTGTTGTGCAGTGCGACTTCGTGGTCTTCCTTGGCTCCCAGCTGCGAGGAAACCTCTCAGAGCAGAGCCGCGACACCTCCATTGGGAAAACCTTCCCCTTCAGGGCTGCAACACCTCAGTGGGGAAGCCTTCCCTTCAGGAAGCTGTAACGCTTACACTGCGCACACGTAAGCGAAGGTGCCGGCTTAGAGGCGATTGTGAGGCATCCAGCTTGGGTGCTAGGAACCAATCTCGGGCGCTATGCCCGAGTACTTGCTCTTAAAGGCTGGGCCGTCTCACCAGCCCCATCCATTAGGCATTTTTAACTATAGGCCTGGAAAAGATGTCCGTCAGACATCCCAGCTCCAGCCTGGCAACTTCGGCTTTTGTCAGCGGTATTCTTAGAGCAGGTAAGAAGGAGGAAGACACTTCTAAAGAAACCTGCTGGCCTTGCCTACCCCACCCTCTCATCACCTGCAGAGGATTCTCTTCAACACCCCATCCCCCAAGAAAAAAGGCCAAATGTGCAGGTGTTTGGGCAAAGAAGAAGAAAAACAAATAACAAGCATAGAGAAATTCAGTTTTTCTGTTTACGTTACTATTTTATCCAGAAGAATTTATTGTTTGGTAAAAGAATGAAGAGCTCCTGTATTTTAACTTCTCCCCTCTGTAGCAGGACAGAGAGAACCACGCAGCCAGCACAGACCCTGAGCCCCTCTCTTGGCATATCATGTACACATTTTGAGGAAGAGTGAGTGCCAGGACAGCCAGGGCTAAAACAGAGAAACCCTGTCTCGAAAAACAAAGCAAAACAACAACAAAAACCCCACTTATTCACGTATTGCTCTTCTAAGTTTGGTGCCCCGGATCCACACGGTAGCTCATAGCCTGTAACTTCAGTTCCAGGGAATCCAGTTCCCTCTGCTGGTGTCCATGGGTACTGCATGCATGTGGTACACAGACCCATAAAATAAAAATAAATATATACATATATTTTTAAAAAGTTCACTGTAACTTCTAGGAATAGGAGAAGGAAACGTGTTCTTTAAAAAGGTCTCCTGGGACATGGTGGTGCGCACCAGCTCTTGGGAGATAAAGGCAGGATTTGGAGTTCAAGATCAGCCCGTGCTGCAAGAGACCGACTCAAAACACCAGAAACCAGTCTTGGTCTCAGCATGCACTGCAATAACTCTCCCCATTTGTCAGAAGACCCATCCCAATAATAAAACAGAAAGCCCTGGAGGGCAGGCCAGACAGCTCACCTGTTTTACTGCCAGCATCCTGCACGCCTTAGGACACCAAGTGTCAACAGCCAACAGTTGGGGCCTGGACTCTACTGCATCTGCCTGAGACGGGACCGTCTTTCTGGGAGGTCGGCTGACAGGCCGTTACTAAGTCAGAGGAAAGCGTCTAAGCCACAGTCCTTCACCACTGCGCACTATCTGTTCCTCGTGGCAGAGGTGGGTCTGGCTGAACTGCAACACCCGGTCTCACCGTGCCAGGGATGGAACGTGCCGTTCAAACGCTCCGTATAGGATGTCAGCTACACATCTTGTGTTTCCTTATTGTCATACGGAACTTACTATTTCTTTGTAGATACTCTCAAGCCAGAATAAAAAAACTCATTCTGCTCCGCTACTTATGTCTCATCAGGTACATAACACAAATCAAGGTTTTCTCTTAGTCATTGCCCTGATCAGATTGTCGTCTTCTCCCAAAGAAACTGTAAGAAAGAAAGTCATGTGCTCCCTAACAGAGACACGCCCAGGGCTAACCGGCCAAAAGCACTCCTATCTCTGATGTGCATATAGAAGGAGACAAGGGAAAATAAAGAGCAAGGAAAGGGGGAGGAAAAGAAGTAACAGACACAGGACAACAAGAACACATCCTGGACCACGTGCTGAATGGGGTGCAAAGGCCGAGCTGCCATGAGGACCCGGGAAGGGTTGGAGTAAGATGAAAGGTGAAATCCCAAGTAGCTTATCCTAAGGGACGATCTCCTGTCTCATCTTTACATCCCCACAGTCTGATGCAGTGTACCTTACAATACAGGTGCTCAAAGCCTGTACTGATGAGTTGACGTGTTCTAAGCAGCTGTGACTCAAGGGTTGTTTTTAATTATCTAAGGAGAGATATCAAGTTCTCTTGTTTCAGTCTCATGCTTAAGGCCCAGTTCCAGCTAGCACATCCACTGATAGTCTTATACACACAAAGAGGTCAGTTTTATCAGTAAAGTGTGGGCTGCCTTACCCGAAGGGCATGCTTGCTGGCGCAGTACCCACTAGAAAGGGGCGTGGACACAATTCCTGCAACGCTGTTGACAGTAACAATCTTCCCTTGTTTCCTCTCTACCATGTGAGGCAGAACACACTTGGTCAAGGACACCGTCCCTAAGTAGTTCAGATTCATCAGCTCCTTGAAGACATCCAGGTTGGTTTCTAGAAATAAGGAACGCTGGGATCTTCCACCGTTGTTGACCAAAATGTCAATCTAAGAATCAGAAAATGGATACTTAAAGATTGCCTAAGAAAACGATTGCTTATGTTGATAACTTGAAGAGGAAATGGGACAGTGGTGTGGTTCTTTCAGCAGCTAAAAATAAAAATAAAATAAAATAAGCAAAGCCAGCACTTGGGAGACAGAGGCAGGCAGATCTCTTAAGTTCAGGACCAACCTGGTCTACAGAGTCCTAGAACAGCCTGTCAAGAAAGAAAAGAAAGAACAGAAAAGAAAGAAGAGAAAGAAGAAAGGAAGAGAAAGAAAGGAAGAAAGAGAAAGGAAGGGAAAAAAAAGGAAAGGAAAAAAGACAAAAAGAAAAGGAAAATAAGCAGAATTCACCTATGGAATTCCCTTTTGAAGTAACCAGCATCAGAAAAAAAAGAAAAGCATCAGTAAATACTAACTTATCTCGTGCTTTATGGAGAAATCCGTGTCTGGGAAGGGGTGAAAAAAGTAGCTAAAGCCAGTTCACAGCCCTGACCTTGCTGCACCTGCTCCATCTGTTCCAGTCCTTTGCATGGGATCCGCAGCTGGAAATCCCTTTGGCAGTTCTTTGCAAAGACAACCAAGCAATGCCACCCACGCTTCATCAATATAAAACACAACTTACTTTACCAAACTCCTGCAGAACGGCCTTGGTAGCTGCCTCATGGGAGTTTGTGTCAGTCAGGTCAAGGGGCAAAACCAATACATCTTTTTCTTTTAAGTTGCCATTCTCTGAAAAAGACACATCAACAGTAGGCAAGCCATTCCATGGTTCCACAGAACTCAACGTTCTCGTTAAATTTAACCTCTACCCCACAGAAAGGCGGCAGTGAAGTCATTCTGCGTGACACTATTGCTGACCAGGGTGGAGGGCTAGTGATGCCTGGGACGGGAAGTCTGGCTGGCTTAGAGGAAGCCAGATAGCGTGCTACATGACCTTGATGTAGACAGAGGCAGTTTGGGAACTGGATGACGACACAGCTGTGGTTCCTGCACTTGGAAGGCAGAGACAGCATGGCAGAAACTTGAGTTTAGTCTGATCTACATAGCACGTTTCAGATGAACAAGGGCTACATGGAAGACCTTGTCTCAAACAAACAAACAAACAAACAAACAAACAAAACAAATGTTATACTATTAGACAGAAATGGAGGAAACTCAACCTATCACACAAAGGAGTCCGGAACTATAATGTCCTCAAAGAGTATGGAGCCAGGTAGGCTGGGATCCTGAGGCCCATATATGTGTACCTCCAGCTCTTCCTCAAATGAAACAATAGTTCTAGCCACACACACAAAAAAGGAGGCAAATTTATACAACAGTTTGTTAGTTAGTTTGTTTTACGAGTTATGAATATAGAGTTACTTTTCTTTTTGCAATAAATTCACAAAGTTCAGTTGCTCCCGCACACACATTTAAAATAACAGTTTGAGTCTGGGGGGGATAGCTCAGTGGTTAAGAGCAGGCACTGCTTTTTCAGAGGATCTGAGTTTAATTTCTAGATCCATGTCATAACCATCTATAATTCCAGCTCCAGGGAGAGCCAGCAAGGCCTCCAAGAGCACTTTCACTCACATGTACAGACTCACACATATACACATAATTAAAAAGAAATCTTTTTTTAAAGTTTATACTATACACTGAGTGGTGTTGGCATGTGCCTTTAGTCCCAGCACTCAGGAGGCAGACAGAGGCAGGGTGATTTATGAGTTTGAGGCCAGCCTGTTCTATGGAGCAAGTTCCAGGACAGCCAGGGCTAGACAGAGCAACTGTCTTGAAAACCCAAAAAGAAGGATGAGGAGGAGGAGGAAGAAGAGGAGGAAAAGAAGGAAGAAAGGAAGAAAGGAAGGAAGGAAGGAAAGAGAGGAAGAGAGAAAGAAAGAAAGAAAGAAAGAAAGAAAGAAAGAAAGAAAGAAAGAAAGAAAGAGAAAGAAAGGAAAGAAAGAAAGAAAGAAAGAAAGAAAGAAAGAAAAAGAAAGAAAGAAAGAAAGAAAGAAAGAAAGAAAGAAAGAAAGAAAGAAAGAGAAAAGAAAGTAAGTTTTATACTATAAATCAGTAAGAAGCTAAGAAGGCCAGTAGTGGAACTGTAGACAGAAGCTCTTCTCCCTAGACCAAGGACTCCAAAAGGTAAATAGGGAAAAGCATTCAGTCCTTCATACAATTGCTACCTAAAAATATACTGGACATAATTGATCTTTTCTATTTCTGGTCACAACTGAATTGAATTATTCTGGACTTTAGTTTTAATATAAAATAAGAAATGTCAGTAAGAAAAACAAGCAAGTACATAGAATGTGAGAGGAACAGAAGTCCTGTGGGCAAAGAGATGAAACATCATTGGACTTTTAAAAACTGGAAAGGATGCACCAGTAAGTGACCACACAGAGAAATGGGACCCAACTGTCCTCACAGCATCTCAGCATTGCTCACAGGGTTTATCCTTTCTGCTAGGGCAGGCCTTACAAGTTACAGGGGTAGAGGAACAATGACCATTAAAAAAATAATAATAATTAGAGAACTAAAACACAAAAGGCTTTTGAAACCTCTTTTGAAAAGAGCCTTGTGATGTCACTGAGAGTTAGGGCAATGATTCTTATCACTGGATGAATGCAGTCAGCAAAGCAAAAGAAAGATAATGAATCACAGGCAGAGATCTCTCTATCTCACACAAACTCACACAAACACACACACACACAGAGGCACACACACATTTAAGACTATATTGAAGTACTAAATGCTAAACACCTCCTAAAGCTACTATTAAGTGAGTGTGACCACACTAAAACTCAAGCCAATGAAGACATTAACTGTGTCACTCTTTGTGTGACTATCGAAGTACTGCCTCAAGCTCATTTTTAAACCTCCTTTCCTTTCTTTCTATTCATCACACACCCACACCCACACCCACACACACACACACACACCCATGACTGTAACATCTGATGTAAAGTAAAATGGATAAGGACCATCCCTAAGTACATTTCATTAGTTACATTCATGAACGCTATGGGTAAAAGCATGTTCTCCTCCTGTGGCGAAGATACGAGTCATTTGATCATTAAAATCCACCAGCGCTTGAGGTCTGGGGCGTCCTTGCCCTCAATATCAAAAGTTGATATAAAAACAAGGGTGGCTGGAAAGAAGGCTAAGAGGTGGCAGTTGAGGAGGCTGGGCAGTGCACATGAGCTCTGGAGCCGGTCCGGACTGCACAGGACAGTCCACCTTCCCTCAGTTCCCCAAGCTGCACTCGAGTCTGGACTCTCACTTGTAGGAGGCCCAGCGGTTGTTAGGAGTCCACTCACCCAGGCATCGTCTCTTCACCCGCTCCAGCTCCTGCGTCCTTCGGGCTGACAGCACCAGAGACACTCCGAGCTTTGATAACTGGAAAGCCAGCTCCTCGCCAATGCCACTGGAGGCCCCAGTCACCCACACCACCATGTCGGTCAGCTCCCATTCTGTTGAGGAAAAAGAGGAAAAGATGGTGTATATGAATGGCACCCCTCCACCAAAGAGGAGTTAAACATGAATAAAATAACTAAACGTTTTTAAATACCACTAAATATGAAGGGCTAATACTTGGAGCATAAAATTTCAAGTGTCCCGCTTGGGGGATTGGATCAGCTGTGGGAATGCTTGCCTCCAGCACACGAAACCTGAGTACAGTCCTGAGCACCCCCATAAGCCAGGCATGGTGCTGCATGTCTGCAATCCCAGAATTTGGAAGGCGGAATTAAGAAGGTAAGTAGTTCAAAGCCATACTTGGCTACATAGCCAGTTGGAGGCCAGCTTGATATACAGAGACCTTGTTTCAAATAAAATAAATGGATAGATGGATGGGTAGATAGATGGATGGATGGATAGACAGATAGACAGACAGACAGAAAGATAGAATTTAAGTATTCTAAAAAGCATCTTTTACCAGAGTTTTCTTAGAAAGCATGGATACACCAGGTGGTGGCAGAGCACACCTTTAATCCCAGTACTTGGGAGGCAGAGGCAGGTGGATCTCTATGAATTTGAGGCATGTGTGGTCTACAGAGTGAGTTCCAAGGACAGCCAGGGATACACAAAAAAACCTTGTCCCAAAAAAAAAAAAAAACAACAACATGATTATAAACCAGGTCATTAATAAGCAACCCACACAGTGTGCTGTGTATTTTGGAATCCTGGTGGATCTTACTAGAATCTCTTTGTAGCTAAGCCTCATAATTACATAGTTTCACTCTAAGACTCAATTCAGCTACTTATCTGACACACAAAAAAATTAAAGACTGGAAACTCCTTGCCTTCTCAATTCAATGGGAGAGTCAGATAAATGGTACTGAAGTTCCCACCCACTTTTAGTTTTCTGAAGTGGACCCACAGATGAGGCCTTTGAACGTGCTCAGCGGTAGGGCAGAAACATCTTGAAGTTTCGGGGCTGCTGTTGTCGCTTACACAGCATCTTGCTATGTTTGCCTGAAACACATATGTCATCCTCCTGCCTCCACATCAGAAGTGCCACCTTGGCCCAGTCCTCCTTCTGGATTTAATTTTTTTTTAAATTATTACTGTGTGTGCATGGCGGGGTGTGGATTCACGTGCCTTGGTGCATGTTGGCAGTCAAGGACAACTTGAGAAGCCAGTGCTCCTCTGCCTGTCTGTGGCTTCCAGGGTGGAGCTCGGGCCATCAGGCAGCTTTAACTGCTGATCTCACTGTTGTGGGGTACACTCCAGAGAAGACTGCTTGGACATGGGTTTAAGGTTAATAGCAAGTTGCCTTAAACACTGGGTATTTGGGATCCCAGTGTAGCCCCGGAGCCTTTCTCGGGATGAGCTTTTAAGCATAAAAACTATACCCTGGGTTGACATGTTTCAGTTAAGCAGAAGTAGAACTACAGAAGCTAAAAAGCAAGGTTATTATATTTAGAGACTGTGACAGCATGGTCTGGGGCTTTGTATTTGTCAATTATTTTCCCTCTGAGGTCTGCCTGCTGTATTCTACCATCAGACACTTAAAGTCCCCCCAAAATGATGTTTGTAATCCTTGCATCCAAGTTATTCCTGATTGGCTGAATAAATGCCTACATAACTAGGCAGGATGGGGGGCAGGGGGTAAGTATGGCCAAAGTTCTTGGGCTTTGGGCACAGAAGGATCACGGGAGAAGCAGGCAGATACCTAAGGAGGAATAAGGCAGAGAGCCTCGATGGGTCAGCTTGGAGAGAAGCACATGGCTGGATCCGAGTGAATAGAAAAAAACAACCCAGATGAAGAACATTAGCAAGCCTTCTGAGGTTATGGATGGGAAGTAGCCCAGGTAGAAATTATTAGAGTGGACAGCGTGGGATGGAAGCTTGGGAGGTAATATCTGCCATGCCCCAGCAGAAATAACACTAGTCTAAAATCCATCAGGTGTCTGTGTCTTTATTGATTATAGTAGCAGGCTAGCTAATACTGCCATAATAACTAATAGGGCTAATAATAAATCTTACTAGCCCATATTTTTATATTTTCTACAACAAGTGACTTTCCCAGAACTACAGACTTTGATGGGTTAGGTCTTTGCTTTTGTTTTGCCTGGAGGTGCTCTTTTATGGTCTGAATAGTACTTCAATCATGGCCTCAGCTGTGCTAAGGCTTGGGGGCCTACTAAGTTCTGGGGCTCATGTCTCATCAGACTTCATGTCTGGTCTCTTGAGGGCACTCATTTGTTCCATGACCGGGGGCAATAAGGCTATCTAGGGTGGCCTTATTTAATTCTTGTCTATGAGCTTAACATAGTTCCATATTAAAACCATCACAAGAGCTTCATGGAGTGTGGGTTCTTCAGAAAACTGAGGTTTTCGGAGTAAGTTACCCCCAGTAGCCTATTAAATCCATCAAGACTGAAACCCTGTCCTCCTCCTCCACAGCGGCAGCGGCCCAATACTTTGCAGAGATTTAGAACATCGAAAGGACTCCATAAATGAGTATCTACTGAATAAAGACAGTGAAAATGTTCTCAGGCTCAAGTTTATGTCCACATGATCACAGATATGACACCCATCTTCCCACCATGAAGCAGGAAACAATTTAATTTAGCATCCATTTTTGTTTACTAAGTGCTTCATAGAATCTTGCATTCACTTAAAAACAACTCCTGCCCTGACCGCAGACTCTGAGAGTTAACAAGCAGCCTAGAGTTTAATGCCCGTCCTAGCGTGATAAGTCTCTCCTGAAGCCCTTAACCACTGGTACCTCATCCTCACACGATGTGGAAGCTGCTTATCTCCAACTTGAGACAGCTGTCATGCCCTCCCCTAAGTTCCGTCTTCTCTGACTTCTGTAAGGCAAAACACATCCAGTTTCTGCTAGCTGGCAGTGCCCCCGCTCCTCTGGCGGTCCCCTGCCCACATCTGATTTACTAGCTGCCCAATCTGGATGCTGCCAGCATTTTTACATTTCAGACCTAATTTCATCTGCTACTAGCTTGTATGCAATCCTACACTTTATAAACCGATTTTAGCTCAATCTTCAGAATAAAAAAAAGCACTGAGGCTCAAACGTGAAGCTCAAGCACCCACGGGCGGCTAAAGGCAGTGTGGTGACACATACCCCACCTGTCTAAAAACAGTGATCAGGGCGGAGGCAGTTACAGCTGATTCAAGTGTGGGGTATTTGGGATTCTTGCCCTCAAAAACGAGAAACAGTCTGGGTGTGGCAGGCATGTATTTTCCAGTGTTGCAGTACCAGGCTCGCAAACGCATTTGTCGGCACTAGACCTGCTGAGAGCCAAGGAAATGCAGCCTCAGAAACAAACAGCAAGCACGCCTGGCAGAGTTTGAGAGGGACATAAAATACTATCCTCTCTTCACCTACTCCTGCCCTACCGACTCTGAGTCTCCTTAGTCACCAGCTAGTTCAGAGCGCACTGCCTCTGAGGCTCTGTGCCTTTTTCACCGTGGGTGGCAGAGTCCCACTCGGTCCTTTAAGGATCGAAAGCCTGCCTTGGCCAGGCTTCTAGTTTCTCCGTCAGTGTCTCTAACTGAAAAACAACACGAACCGTGCCCACGTTTGAAGAATCGTTCCAAAGGCCGGAGGGCTGTTTGGAAAGTGCTGAGCACGCTGTCCACCTGACAGACAGTGCACCTGTGAGCTCTCAAAGCTCGCGAACATCAAACACGGAGCAAGGCGCAGACCGAAATGAAATGTGTCTTAGTGCGCCCAGATCTTTCTGGCAAAAACCAAACACCCAAACAAACCGACGGCTCAATGCTTTCTACTGTGACACTTTTAACCTAGTGAGTAGGTTAAGTGGGTGATTCGCACCAAATTTTCTTTCAGTGCTGCGGGAGAGTAAAAGGCACAAGATCAGCATGTCCCGGATGCAGGGACACTGGGCCTCTTGCAAAGCAAAGGACACAGTCTGCTCTTCGCGGCGTCCTCCCTGGCAGTGTCCCGAGATCCCTGGGGTCCTGCTGAAGAAGTCTGTGACCTACGGGCATCGGAGGACTGCAGCGCTCTCTTGGGAGTCTGACGTTTTCTCTCCTAGTCTGGACGACAAACAAGTGCCGTTTCGAATCAACACCAGAGACAGCCCCTGCCTCTTTCTCCCGGACCCTTAGGCAAGACCCAGCTTGGGCACAGAGGGTCCATCCTTCCGGGAGGGACCTCGGCCCTGCTCGCCATCAGCGGAGCCCGGGACGCCGCTCCCCGACCGTGGCGGGTGCTCACCTGGGCGTCGCCCTTGCCACTCGGCCCACAGCAGCGTCAGGTCGGCATCGGCCCGCAGGAAGCGCAGGAGCTGCACCAGGGGCAGGAGCAGCGCGCACAGCGCCAGCAGCCAGAGCAGCAGCTCCCAGCTCATCCCGCCGCCCCGCTCTGCCCGGAGCGGAAGACAGTCGGCGCCCGCCCTCCACGCCACGGATCACCACGCAGGGCTCCACCCCGAGGTCCCCGCCCCCCGGAGGCGGGGCTCGCTGCGCCGCGGCCCGGGCTGCCCGGCGGCGTCCGGGTAGGGCCGCAGGAGTGTTGCAATGGAAGGCCTGGGAGACTTAAGTTACCCGGCAACGCTGCCGTCGGTAGAGCCGTCGACCCGATGTGTGAGGGCACGAACGAGTCTTTAATCGCCGGGTTTTTTTGTTTGTTTGTTTGTTTGTTCTTGTTTTGGACGACGTACTTTCCAAGGCTTTGGTGGTGCCCTGTAGAGAAACAAACATTCTAATTTTAAACACTGCCCATTCCTACCTCCCCGGCACCACGCTGGGAACTGTGCCCAGGGCCTTTCACAGGCTGGGCAAGCTCCCAGCAGCTGAGCCAAACCCTCACCTCCTTTCCTAATCTGCTTTTCTCTCTTTTGGAGTGTGTGAACTGAGATAAATATAACCGAATTAAATCAGTGGTTGAACTAGGTTGCCCTCCTGGATGGTCACCTTATATTTAGAAAAACAGTACAAAATGACTCTCATATTTGACCAAAAATTGGATATCATGGCCTAGCCAAATCAGAACATAAAATGAATTGGACTGGAAGGCAATTGTTAGTGAGTTGAAGGAGCCACTTGATTGGCGTTCCCCTGTCACCTCAGGTAAAGGATATCGGTATCTTTACCCACGAGAATCCATGGGAAGAATTGAATAAGAAAAGGCCTCTGTGGTTACATCTTATGTACACAAAAATTGTATTTATTCTTTCTTTTGTATTGCTGGTGCTGTTTTTATGGATTGTCACTTGTTTTTTTGTTTGTTTGTTTGTTTTTGTTTTTTCCATTGCAGCGACCAGGACTGTTTATAAAGGCCTATGGTTTACACCTGTAGCGTTATCTGTACAGTAAATATTTGAACTAGTGTGAATCACAAATTGCTGAGGTCTAGTTTAAGATGCATCTCAGTTAGCTAAACTCTGTGGGATTGCTTGCTACAACTGCCATTTGGAATAATATCACCGGGGCCATGTGAATTTTACTTTCTTTCCAGTATGTTGTTTTTATAATAAAGACGCCTTAAAACATCACACGGAATCTCCTGATGAATCTTATCCAAACGTTTCCCCTTCTGTAAAATGAAAGGACTGAGGTGGATCTAATGTTCCCACACGAGCTGAAGAAAGCCCGAATTCTGGGTCACAAACCCCAGCTTTGGGAAGGAGGTGTTGGAAACTGGGACAGTGGGCTTGGGGAACTGGCTTGAAAGTATGATCTCTGCCCTGTCGACCCCTAGGGATTAGATCCATGTGCATGCTGAGTGTCATGTAGATTTTTTAAAACAACGTTTATTTATTATTTATACAGTATTCTGTGCAGAAAAGGGCACCAGATCTCATCATAGATGGTTATGAGCCACTGTGTGGTTGCTGGGAATTGAACTCAGGACCTTTGGAAGAACAGCCAGTGCTCTTAACCTGTGAGCCATCTCTCCAGCCCCAAAGCAGATTTTTAAGACGTTTTTCCTTATTGGAGCTGGAGAGTCGATTCCGCTGTTAAGAGCACTTGTTGCTTTCACGGAGAACCGGGGTTCAATTCCCGGCACCCACATGGGAGCTCACAGCTATCTGTAACTCTGGTCCCAGGAGATCCAGTTCCCTCTACTGACTTCCAAGGGCATCAGTCGCTTACATGGTGTACAGACATACCTGCAGACAAAAACATTCACATATACAAAAATCGAATAGAGTTTTACTAAAAATGTGTTTATCTTTTGTGTGTATGTGCTCACATATGTGTATGGTCATAAGTGAACATGTGTGGGGTTCAGAGGACAATTTTTGGAAGTCAGTCTCTTTTTCCATCATGTGGGTTCCAAGGATGAAACTCATGTCATCAGGCTCAGCAGCAAGTGCCTTTATCTGCTGAGCCATCTCCTCGGGCCCAGAGTGTATCTTTTAATACGATGATTTGATCTGGTGGTGACTGTTTCCTTCAAACCGACATGTGTAGTTACCGTGTTCAATTAAGTGTTCTGTTTATTAACGTAAAAAAACCTCTGAGTTTGAGGCTGGTGAGAGCTCTGAGTTCGAAACCAGCGTGGTCTACACAGTGAATTCCAGAACAGCCAGTGCTGCATGGTGAGACCGTGTCACAAAACAAACCAAAACCTGGGAGTTTTTAGGTTAATAAATTATATGTTCTAACTTGGCTAGCCCATGATATCCAAATTTTGTTCAAATGTCAGCCTGGAAGTTGTTGTGGAGGCATTTTAAATATGCATTTAACATTTATATCAATAGTCTTTCAATAAAGGACATGAGCCAGCCTCCACAATGTGGGAAGTTCAGCCAGTCAGTCGAAGCTTTATGAAAAAAAACAACAGAGGTCTGGGAAGAGAGAGGGGATCTTACTTCCGGACTGCCCTTGGACTCCAGTTACCTCCCCTCTCCCCGGAACTTCCAGCTGCCTGCGCATCAAAGACTTCAGGCCTGCTGTGCTCCAAAGCCATGTGAACTAATTCTTTAACGATCACCCATTGCGCACATATGTGTTTTTGTTTCTCTGGAAGGTGCTAATTAAAAAGCTATAGTAAAACCACATGGTAGTTTTTGCTTAGAGAAGAAAAACACAAACAAATTTCAACCTCAGAAAAGTTTTTTTTTTTCACTCGCATAAAAGCATAATTGAGTAATTCATGCTGGAATTCAGTTATGTCCCCCATTCCTCTGCGTGCTTTCTCCACTGTGTGTATGTGTGTGTGTGTGTGTGTGTGTGTGTGTGTGTGTGTGTGTGTATGTGTGTGTGTGTGTGTGCATGTGTGTGTGTGTGCTGGAGTTCAAACCTAGGGCCTCAAAATTTCTAGGCAAGTTCTCTATCACTGGGCCCAGTTAGGTATGTAGCAAACCAAATTCAATCATCTTTAGAGCACTTATCTAGCACTCATGTCTTTGTGACACGAAACTATCTTCATTTACGCTGTTCACCAGTGAGGAAGGACAAACAATAGCAGCCTTGGGCTCTGGTGTCTGTGGTGAGGACATTTAAAAATTGTTTTCACAGCCACCACCAGGATGGCATCTCCCATTCTATGCAGACTTCACTACAGAACTTGGAAACAGAGTGTTGCGGACAAATGAAGGGCTGGTGAGCAAATGTAGGTGCTCTCTTGAGAGCTGAGGGCAAATAACAGAGCAAGAACAGGCTGGCTTTCTTGAAGCCGTGGTCCTAAAGCTGCTGTTGTTGTCTTGAGACAAACAAGCAAACAAGGCTGACTTGGAACTCACTATGTAGCCCAGGTCGGCCTCCAACTTCTGATCCTCCTGCCTCAGCCGCCTGAGCACCCAGCTGAAGCCATGCCCAGCTGAAGCTGATAGAATTTTAACTGCGTAAGTGTAAAATCTCAATAACTAAAAGAACAAAATTCAAGCGCTAGCTGCACCAATACGCAATACCATTTCCTCTCTGAACAGGAAAGTTACACAATGATTCGAGAGAGAGCCCTCTGTCAGAACTCCCTTACCCACTCCCATTTGAAAGAGTAGCAACCACTCCCTTCTCTTTTGTGCCGCTTTTTCTGGAAGTGAGGACAGTGCTGAAGAAAAAATGTGGCTACCATTCCAGACCCCATAATTCAAAGCAAACGGTCTCCCTGTTGGGAAAGCACCCTTTCAACAGCAGAAAAAAAGACTGACACCGTGACATCTTACGACATGATTCTGACAACGCAAACTTAACTAGTTTGTGTTTAGCAAGCACAAAGCCCATCTCAGTGCTCATCTTCTGTGAAGAGCACCATACATGCAGAGAATGTCATTCACACTGTGCTTTTACCTGCTCTCATAGCACTGTCATGAGATGCTATTCTTGAGAGTAAACACTGGATAAAAAACATTGCAGGTGCTAATAACACATCAGTTTGCAACATCTTCTCAAGGAGTTTTTTTTTTCTTTTGGTTTTTTTGTTGTTGTTGTTGTTGGGTTTTTTGTTTTGGTTTGTGGTCACCGCAACCAACCTGAGCTGAAAACTCCAGCTCCTGTAAAGAGGAGGGGAGATTGAGAAAATGTCATGCTGTTAAAGTTATCCATGGATGTCAGAGAGCGGTGAGAATACCAGAGAATTTGATCCCAGGCTCCTGCCTCCCACAGCCCAGCACTCACCAGGGACACGTGACTATAAATAGCGTCCCCTTGGTATGAAAGGAAAAGCACTCCTAATGATGCAAGAGGACTAGTGAAGTGAGGAAGCATCCAGGCACATGAAATATAGCCCTTCACTCCACCTGTACAGTCCTTGCCTCTCCTGTCCCCAAGCTCTACCTCAAACACGGACTGGACTGTTCATTAGCTAAAACACAGATAAGAAAGGGCTGCTCTGATAGCCAGTCTTACTTAGGCTCAAAGTAACAGAGCCAGACTGAACTCTCTGAAACCATAAACAAGGTAAATCATTCCCTAAGTTGCTCACTTGGATGAATAGTTTTTCTTTTTATATGCATATACGAAAAGGTCACAGCGAAATTCTTTAACTTATAAGGCCAACGTACACTGCTAATATAACTGTCAAACAGCAGCCTCCTGTGTTTAATGCAAAAAGCCTGCTGAGAGTGGATCATTTCTCAGAGCACGCTATGGAGGAACCACAAGCCAACAAAAACCTCGCCTGAATATTTATGACTCTAAGACCAGTTAATAAATTCAGCTTTCTCTTTCATTTCCTGTCAGGAATTGAGCTGTGCCCCTCTCTCTTTTCCTAACCTGGAGGTGTTTGACTTTGGGAAATTACTCACACACATCAGAGAGAAAATCATAATTAATAATAAAGATAAAACACAATCTACAAGGAAGAAAATATAACAGAAAAGAGTGTAGGCAACTTGGAAAAATGACTCCTGTTTGCACAATCTATAGTCACAATCTTTAAATAGAACAAGCACCACGAACATGGCCAACACAAAATCAGAAACTAAAAGCCTCACGAGGGGC